TTGGGTGCAGAGTGGATCCAGCCCGAGCAGCCTCATCAAGGTGGCCATTACCACGCCTGTTGGCTCTCTCGGCTGGGGCGATGCCTTCCTCATCAGGGTCTTGGTACGCACGCACCTTGTCGACACTACTGTACTGAAGACGGGGCACTTGTTGACATATTGAAAGGCAACAGCATACTTACGCTTGTAGTTCAAAAGCTCACCAACTGGCAAGCTGAAATGCTTCACTACAACCAAGCTGTCGGAGAAACAGTGAGCAGCGGCAACAATCTGCAGCGGCGAAAGAAGAGAAGGGGGAGGAAAACGTTCAATGGACGAGAATTCGGGGACACTCCGAGGTTCCGGGATGGATGCCAAGGCGAACGGGTCACCGCCCTAGGCCTCGAGAGCGGGTCAGTGATCCACGGCAGTCGGGTCGGATGGAAGAAGGACCCGTCGGCGACAGATGGGCCGATGGGGCGTCCATGCGTGGCCCCCTAACGAACCCTGGAGGAGGAGGAGGAGGAGGAGGAGGAGGAGGAGGAGGAGGAGGAGGAGGAGGGGAAAACGAGGATTCCAAGCTGGGGTCCAATCGGAGCAACAGTGTTGCGGGCCACTGGGCCCCAGGCCCACTGGGAGGACTTTGGGGCAGCAGGTAAAGGGAGGACCGCACCCACGAAGGATTAGGGGTTAGGCCCCGCAGGCGCATCCTGAGGATTAGCGGTGGCGGGGCCAGCCTCGCTTGACGAACCAGCACCACTCACACGCTGCCGCCTACTTCGGGCAGCAAACTCTTCGCTAGCCTGCATCGCCATCTTAACAACCATGGGGGCGCCCTTCGCGCCGAGGGTAGACGCCCTTGCCCAAACGGGCCAAGTTTTCCGATCCTTTGCGGCTCGAGCGACACTCGGCTACAAGATGGCGGGGATCTATAATGGCATAAGCCCCGCAAGTGTGACAACTGGTGAGGAATAATTGGCCCGCACGTCCGAGCGAATGAGATGGGTGAACCTCAAATCCCTGCAAATTGACACCGGTTCCCCGAGAGATCCTGGGGGCCCTGGCCAGGACAGGAGCCTCAGGAGGATGGGGGGGGGGAATACAAGGGATCGAACTCAGCTCCAGGAGCCTGGACTTTGGCACAGTCTGGAGGAACGCCTCGCAAACGCACGATGAGTCCTTCAGGTGGAGGCGGTGGGCGGAGGAAGCAACGGCCCGAGCAACTCTCGAGCCCTGCGCCGCTTGGATGGGCACCGCATCTCGCTCAGCCTTCGAGTTCTTCTCGACGGCCGCTGAATCGATCAGGGCGCGACGGGCGCGCCTCCTGATCATGGCTGCAGCAGAGTCGACCGCGGCGGTCCGAGGAAGGCCCCCCAACACCCTCCCACTCCCACGACAACTCCGCCGCCCTCCCCGCCCAGAAATCCGCAGCCATGTCACCCATGGCCGTGAGCTTCTCCTGCTCACGGTTAAAGCTCGCTCTCTCATCTGTGTGCGATGGGGTCCGTCTCGCAACTATCGGGCCAGGCCTGGCCCTCCAAGATTCCCGAGCGCGTTCCCAGAGATCCTCCTGGAGACCAGAGGCTCTGGGATTCTCCAAAATATGCTTCCAGTGCCTGGCAATATTCTTACGGTCGGTAACAAACTCGACATCTCCTGAAACATTCTCGAGCGCGAGGCAAAAATCTAGGAGCTCGGCCACGGGGGCCGACTGCTTCAGCCCGATGAGGGGCCTCGCGATGCCAGCACGCTCCACGCATTCACCCTCGCCGTTGCGAGCGAGGGCCACAATCGCAGCGCCGCGCCGGCACCGACGAAGATCGTCTGAGTGCTTCCCTCCCGACCCGCCCCCGCGCACCACCGCCCCCCCCCCCACCCATCCCCCCCCCCCCCCCCACCCACCCCTCACAGTCCTCGAAGGCGCCAGGCAGCCTGAGCACAAGCTCGGCCAGCAGCGCTTCACCAAACCGAGGCGCGATCACGCAGACAGCGGGACTCCGCGGAGCCAGAAGGCGGGCCGGCTCTCATGCTCCACCATCGCCGCCGTAGACAGCGAGGCGGTCTTATCGTAGTCGTCGTGGGAGCGGTTGGCCTCGCAAGACCATGTCCTGTGGAACAGCGTCTCAGGATGCATATCGCAGCGAGGGCGCGTGGTGGACTGAACCTTATGGCCACAAAGGTGGCGCCAGCGTCATGCTTGCTCGCCTCAGCCCGCAAGGCCGAGCGGATATCACGCGCGAGGTCGTCCACCAGCTCGGTAGTAGGCCCGAAGTTCTCGGATGTTTCCTCACTGCTCGAAGATGCATGGAATTCATCAATTCCAGTTGCCGCGGGGCGGGCCCAGACACCAGCCGACTTCGGGCCAACCCCGCGCCCAACAACATAACAATGATCCCTGAAATCGGGCCTCGTACGATGCTCCAGCGCCGTTTCCTAGCCTTCAGGATCCACGCTCGGGTCGAAGGCCACGCCAACTTGACTCGTGGATGAAGGTCAGGTTGAGCTTGCCACAGACTGAGCCATTCCAAGACCTGCTGCCGACGGAGCTCCACCGCAAGGTCTTTCAGCCCGAAGGAAGCCGCCGTCGCGCTGGTCAGGCAGCGCCCTCCTTGGCCACCCATCAATGCAGCAGCGGCCTGGCGTCGCAGCGCCAGCAGGGCCGACGGCGGCGCGGGGCCTACGCCTGTCAGCAGCCACGTCGATGCCGAGATCGCCGCCCTGGGAGGCAGGCTTGACGGGGGCGCCTCCAGCTCGCAGTCTCTTTCGCCGAGATCTTCGACAACTTGGCTGACGAGCCCAGGGGCCGAGACTTGGAGGGGACTACCATGCACTGCTCCTCCAAGCCACGGGCCACGGTCGTACACATCTTATCCATAACAGGTAACACCGCCTGGGCCGTGCCTTCACATCGCCCTACAGTGTCGTCGATGAACGTCCAAAAGGGCCCGGACGGGGCCCCCTCGTGGACCCCCCCCAGGATCGGGCAGAAGGCCCGCTTGGAAAACGGGGCCCCGTGCGACGACCCAGCCGCGATGCTGCGCGTAGGATAGATAGCTCCGCTGACCCATCCACGCTCCCTCAGATAGCGCGGGCGGGGGTAGACCTGCATCTCGAGGCCCATGGCAGCCGGGCGGAAATCGAAATCCAAGCCCATCTGGAGCAGGCCGACCAGCAAGACGCTGTCGTAGAACTTCTCCATGCCCAAGAGCAGCACGAGGAAACTCAGCTGCTGCTCCTGGGCGGCCTCGTCGAGGGTAGCCCTGAGGAGGGCTGCTCTGAGGGCTGGCGATCCCCTGACAGCAATGCCCAAGAAAGCAGCGCGCCCGGGGCACCACTGCGACGCGGACGTCTGGCGAGCCTTCGACCACAGCTTGACGGGCAGCGGGGCAATACCAAGGGCGCGGCCCCCCTCCCCCGACGGTTCCGGGGCAAGGGCCGGGAGGGCGGCTGCCAACTGCAACGGCCGCGCCTGAACAACCTCACAGCGACGCAGGATACCGGCCAGCGCCGCAATGCCAGGAGGCGGTAGGCGGCCGAGGCCACCCGCTCCGAGACCGTCAACTCCACGAGCTTTCTTGTTGCCCGTGACTCGAATGCCTGCCTACAGCTGCTCGATCTGTAAAGGAGGGACATCCTCCGCAGCTGACTTCTGGCGGACGCGCCCCAGGGCCTGCACTATGCCCCCAGGCGCGCCCGCCGCATCCGCCCATATCTTGCCCAACTTCGACGACTTAGTAGCCATAATGGCGATAGGGTCTGCCACCGAATCAGCCGCCATGGAGGTAGCCGTGACCTCGACCATGGCATCCTCAGGCCTGAATGCAACAGGATCACGCACATGTCGGTGGAGCGTCCCAGGGGAGGTGCGCCACGTGCGACGGACCCACTCAGCGTGGCCTCGCGCGCCTGCCCGATCCCACGTGCAACCTCACAGGCCACCACCGCCTCGACATCTATCACCGCCTGGGTCAGACCTTGGACAAGCTGGTCGCTGGCGAGGCGATCGGGGCCCTCGCAGAGTCTGGCGATGTGGCCGGGGGCTAGCTTGGCCTGCTCACGTAGGTCAGGTGGCCGGTCGAACAAATACTGTGGCAAGTGCTGAACTCGTGCTGCAGCGCTAGCCAACGCGCTGCACATCTGGTCGTCAGCTGTGTCGTGCAGGAAAATGGCCAACGCCCTCCTGCAAATGGTGTCCATGACTGACCAATGCTCCGCTCCATCATACTTCCAGTGGCCGCGCCCTGGGGGGGAGACAGGCATCTCCCAAGTAACCGGAAAACCGCGGGCTCTGCCAGCAGAGGGCGCTCTCTCCTGGGTTGTCATCTTCGGGTCGAGGAGGGCCTGCTAAGCCTGGTCAACTCATCTGCCGCGGGCCTGGGAGAGGTCATCATTCCCCGAGGGCCCGGCCAACAATCGGAGTGTTGCGGATATTGCGCAACTCCGCCGCGAAGGTATAATGCTGGTCCACATCGCCCTGCACGTGGACGGGCGAGCGGCTCTAACAGCGGCAGATGCCGATCGCAAACTCGTCTCCCTCCACCGCAGGTTTGTCTATAGATTGATGCAGGTATAGGAAGGCATCCTGGTGGTCGACGGGGAGGGCCTCCTTGCGCCTCCGGAGCGCTGCCTGCTCACGCCGGCAACTCCTGCTGGTCGGGTCGGGGGAGCCGGCGGTCGCCCAACGACTGGAAGCGCCCTCGACAGGGCCAGGGCGCGATTCCACCGCGCCGTCGACGAGCCCTGAAGATTGACGTGGAGGCCGCAGTGGACCTTCCAAGGGACCGTGAGAACGCCCTTGACCGCGATGAGGTGGCCACCAACTCCGACGCCACTACGCTGTCTATCAGGGGCCCCGCGCCCTGGTTCCAGGTCACCTTGACATCCGGGGGGACAGCGACTCCTCCAACATCCTTTAGGAAAGGCTTGCCCGAAAGAGCCTTTGGGGCGAGGTTCCAGTCGGCAACGATGATCCATGAATCCGAGATCGAAGCCAAAAAGGCTCGGAGCGAAGCCCATCTGTCCAAGTTGAGGCCCCCGAACCCATGCTTCGGCAAAGAGTACGCCGAGATGACAATGAGGTTGCCGGCGCGGAGGTGCAAGACCGTGGCAACCCAGCCACGGAAGGGATCCTTGAGACGCTCCTGGGTGATGAGGGCTCGCTGCCGATCGTAGGAGGGAGTGGCCAAGTGCGCGCGGGCCAAGATCCACTCTCCTCCGCTCGCGCCGTCAGTCGAACGGCCTGCGAGGGTGGCCGCGCGCACCTAGAGCTTCCAGCCGTCCACGTCCTAGCGTGCCCGCTGCTAAACCAGCTTCTCATCGGTGACGTGGGTCTCCGCAAAAGCCATCATGCCGTAGTTGCGCTTGTTCTCGACCACAAACTCGCGAATGCGTGGCCCCCACGCCGTAATGTTCGCGAAGAAGAGGGGCACATGAATGCGATCACCGGGCTTCTTCGTCTTCGGGGAAGGCCTGTCTGCCGGCGCTTGCCACGCGCCGCCGTCGTCATGATAGTGCTCGGGACGGGGTGCAGCATCTGGTCCAATGGGATCCCTGAGCTCCTGCTCAATGGCCCTCGCCGCGCCCCAGACACGGCTGACCTCCGCGCGCGAGTGGGGGAGGTAATCCAGCTGCCCAGGCTCAAGAGGACTGCCGCACGGGTCGTAGCCGACTTGCGCCAAGCTCGGTCACAGACCTCAGCGGCCTCGGAGAACGCACACTGGGTGGTGAGGAGGACAAACATAACACACAAACGCCTCCACCTCACAACACCACTCTCGGGGTCTTGGACGTTCTCAACCCATTGAGCTGCCCGCTTCTCCACATCATCAGCGGGCCGCTGCTGCGGCGAGACCACTAGCTGAGGCGGCCCTACTGACCCCGCCTGTGGCGACGCCGCCGATCAGCGCGCCTCCGGCGAAGAGGTCGCCGCCGTCCATTCCGTAGGCATCCCCGCCCCCAAAGAGACGCACCCTGGGCCTGGATGACCGCCTTGGCCTGGGCTTTGGCTTCGTCCGTGGCCGCGAGGCCGACCTGGAGTTTCGTATTCGCCTCCCCGTCCTCGTACTCGTGCACCGAGAAGCTCGTGAGTTTTTCTTCGAATGCCACCAAAAAATCAAACTCTGAGCACGACTGGCTGGGCTCAGGTGCCGTCGGGGAACGATACTTATTGTAGGCCAGGACCGCCGCCTCGTGAGCCTCCCCAGCGGCCACGAGTTCCTCCATGGCCTGGTCGTAGTCCTCTCGCGCCTGCTGGCGGCGCCTCTCCAAGTTGCCGATCTCTGTAAGAAGGTTGTGAACGTGCGTCGCCGCTTGCTTCGCCTTGGCCTCCGTGGGCTGGAGCTGCTCCAAGGGCGACCGCGACTTCGCAAACGCTGGCGTCTCGACTGCCTGCTCGATAGCAAAAAAATTGCCGCAACCGAGGGATCATGCTGAGCAAAGGCCTCAGGCTGGTGAAGGAGCTTCGCCTTACCCCACGGGCAAAGATCGCAGGCGATGAAACAGCGGGCAAAGCACCCCCTTGCCGCTTCGGCTGTTCTCCCTGGGGTTTGTCCTTACCCTTGTTCTTCTTAGGAGAGCACAGCGGCTGCAATTGACCACACACCGAGCACGCTCCACCATTCTTGATGATGCGCCAATTCCAGCCCCACTGCTGGACAGCACGGCAGGACGGGGTCGAGGATAAGGTCTAGTTTGTGCGAAGCTGCTGCGGCGCCATGGCAGGCACTAAGTAGGAGAAGGGTTCGTACCGTCGCACAGCTCGCGACGGGATCGGGATCCCCTGAAATGACTGTCGGGCAGAGAGGCCCTGGCACTGGCCGCGGACTAGCGGTATCCGCGTGTTCACCTGTGGAGCAAAGCATCTTGAGCCAGAATGGCTTGAGCCAAAAGGGCTACGGAGGGGAAGGAGGAGGAGGAGGAGAATGAGGAGGAGGAAAAGGACGAGGAGGATGCCCCCCAGTGGGCTCGAGGCTCGAGCCCGCACGCTGGAGGCACAGCGTGGCGGCAAGAGCGTGGCCGCGTCCTCTCTGCGCGCCTCGGCCGCCAGCCTTGATCCCCGCACGCCTCGAGGAGCACTCTGGAGGCCTCATCGGGGGCCCCTGTGAAGGGGCCCTGGGACACACCAATAAATACACACAAATAACAAGATTCCCCATATTTTCCCATATTTTCTGGGTTTTTGTCTTCCCCCCCACTTCCCATATTTTCCCATATTTTCTGGGAATCGCCGATTAATTGTGTCTGTGTGTTTTTTCCCCTCCTGACCCTGGAGGAGCGAAAACCAAACAGCCACCTGTCGGCGGCGCGGGGGGAAATGAGAACGGGCGGGCCTACTCGGAAGGCTTGGAAGTCCCCCCCCCTTCCGAGAAGTTCCCGCAGCCTTCCCCGAAGACAGACAGCCCGAGGTCTGCTGAGAAGCCCCGACGCCTTCTGAGAAAGCCTTTTCCTTCTCATTTCCCCCCTCGCTCGCCGCCGAAACTAACAAACGAGACTAGAATAATAAATAACGGCATACGCATAAAC